CAGGCCCCACGCTGACTCGTGGATCGCAAGTCCTGCCCACGTTTTTAGAGTTTCTAACTAGTGGCAGCGCTGAATCCTTGTAGTTTCCCTTTTTGAGAAATGCCTTTTGTCTAACCTAACTGATTCCTGAAGAAAGGGGCTCCCTTCCAGTTGCCCAGGAGACACAGTTGTACATAAATATTGTTCTTGTGAACGAAACAGAAGGTGAAGTGCTGTGGGCTAGAACAGACCAATGAAATGCAAGGAGGCTGATTTGTTACAGAGTAAGGGAGTTGGTTGGTTTTTTAGTGACCTGCTCTGGTACCAACATCCAAGCAAGATTCTTTCTGTGGAAATTCAGTAGCTCCTCGGGGAGTGTGATGTGAAAATGGGTGGTTGTGTTTTAATAAGACTGTCTTTAGTGAAAGTGGAAATCAGCACGCAGCAAGTGTCTTGACTTCAGTGGAACTAAGCAAACTTTGGATATTGCCTGTCCAGTCCCGTGAACAAGGACTGCTGTGACAGCTGCTGTTCTAGCAGAAATGGAAGGTCCAAGTTCTGAGTGAAATTTTCAGTGTTGCTCTAGTGTCTTAATATCCCGTGGTCAATATTCAGTCATTTGGACCACCAAGAAAGTACTGGAGCAATTGTTCAAAAATCACTTTCCTAAATTACTGCAAGTTTTCTATCCTGTTCTGTTAGTTGATGATGATGATGTGGAAATCTAGGAACGATGTGCTGGTGAAATGCATTTTGCTGGTGTCTTCTAAAGTGGTGTAAACAAAAGTGCCTCAGTTGTCCATTTTGTGCTGAAGTGGACTGCAAAACAGCCAGTGTACTCCTTGATGCGTGCTAAAAGCATCCTCTTGAAGAAGTACTGCTGTGGGCATTTATCTATTTAACATCTTGCATCTCGAATCCTGCGTTCAGTTCTGGGCCCCTCACCACAAGAAGGACACTGAGGGGCTGGAGCGTGTCCAGAGAAGGGAACGCAGCTGGGGAAGGGTCTGGAGCACAAGTCCTGTGAGGAGTGGCTGAGGGAGCTGGGGGTGTTTAGGCTGGAGGAGGCCCAGGGGAGGCATTATTGGTCTCTACAACTCCCTGAAAGGAGGGTGTAGAGAGGTGGGGGTTGGTCTCTTCTCCCAAGTGACAAGTTGCTAGGATGCGAGGAAATGGCCTCAAGTTGTGCCAGGAGAGGCTCAGATTGGATATTAGGGAAAACGTCTTCACCAAAAGGGCTGTCAGGCACTGGAACGGGCTGCCCAGGGAAGCAATGGAGTCACCATCCCTGGAGGGATTTAAGAGACGTGTAGACGAGGTTCTTAAGGACACGGTTTAGTGTTGGTATTAGCAGTGTTAGGCTGACGGTTGGACCTGATGATCTTAAAGGTCTTTTCCAACCTAAAACAGTCTATGAAATCTGTGTTATTTAAATCACAAGTACAAACTGGTTTTTATATAGGTACACGTAAGATGATAAAACATGATCTGTAAGTTTCTGTTTTATCTGCAGGCCAATTTAAAATATGATCAATAAATGCCATATATGTGCATACCTAACAAGCACATTATGGGATGGTAATTCAGTTCATGTAACTCAGCTTGTTAATCTCCTATTGTCCACTCCAGGAAGGTATTTCATGTACCATCTTTAAACTAAAAGAAAAATATACTAAACCACAAAAAAAAAGAAAAAAAAATGTATTTTGGAAAATTGAGATAATCAAATAGAAACAGGGACATATAGTGTAAAAGCAATTAAAAATATTTTCTTAACATATGAAATAAAAGGGACTTAATACATGAAATTAAAGGGAGGCTTTATCCTGGTTTCATGTTTAACAGCTTGACATTTCAGACCAGAAGAGCATTCATCAGTAGAGTCAACAGTTAATTCTGCTGTACCAAGAGGATGGTAAAACATCCTCCATCCTGACACCGTTACCATTATGCGCTCTCAGTGCAGGGTGTTTCATTCTCGGGGTGGGGGAAGGGAGCCACGGACTGTCCATGGGTTTGAAGAGAAGTTTTCTGGCCAGGTGCAACACAAACCAATACCCTGCTGTTTGCCCGCAGGCTGCTCAAGTAGAAGCTGTAGAGGGTATGTGCTTTTGATGTGATGTCTCCATTAGAAAAACACAGCAGCCAAATTACCAGGCTGTGCAATGTTTTCAAGCCTGAATTAAGATACGGCATTACTGGATAAGATACTGAAATATTTATAATAATATAGAGGATAATTAAACGATATTCCTAGTACTGGATAAACAAAGCTACATCCTGGAAGAGCCTAGTTAGAAGGACTAACTGCCACAGTTTGTTTCAGCTGGAGCTTCCTTTTACATGCCACTTGAGAGCTGAAAGCTGCCTTTCCCAGTGCTAGGTGAGAACACAAGATTTCACACCTCTTTTTCTAACCGGTCCACAGTGAAAAAATGAAGTGATATTAGCGAGCAGGGTGAGCTCTCTAAAGATAAGCAACAACCTGCTAATTATCTCTATTAAGCCTAATTGCATTTGATTGTTCTATTTCTGCACAGTTTTGCCAACAAAGAGAATTGGGTAATTCCCCAGCCAGAGCCCTCATTCTGCTTCTGCCCAGAAAGATGCTCAGACTGAACCACTGCTGATCTGGCATCAAAAAAAGCTGGTGGAGTTGCAGTATGAACTGGGCTTGCTTTATCCAGGAAGATGAAATGATTACCTGGAGCCTTCAGGTGAAAGGCTGAGCAGACTGAGCCAATGAAAACAGCTCAGCCCTGAAGGTTTGCAGCTACACTGCTTTTTTTTTTTACAAGCAGCCCATAGCGTGCACTTCCCAGTGTTACAGCCCAGCCTGCTAATTGGGTTTCAGTGACTGATGTCTGTCTTTAAGAAAAGAAATACATGCAAAATGCCATGATTTTCTTCACCATGTTGTCTGTGGTGACAGTGTGTTGAAAAATGGAATTAAAAGTCACTTCCTATTAGTAGAAAATGCAAATAACTGACAATTCTCTCATTTTTCTAGTAGTAATTTTAAGTAAGAGGCAAATGAGCCACAGAAAATGTTCATCTCTAGAGTTAATGATCCTAACAATCCCCTTTTAAAGGTAATCTTGATCGTACTGCCTTGTATAAACTACCGCAGTCTCTTGCCAGAAAATGCACCTGGACAGATCTTGAACGTATCTAAAATAGTTGCTGTTGGTCTGTCTAGCAGGTGCATTCCAGATGTTTATTGCTCTTCTGAAGCATCAGTTTGTTTGCAGGAATACTCGTTGTCTAACTTAAGGATGGTGTCTGTTGGGGTATGGTCTTGTTAGTCTTTCCATAGTTGTTACGGTTTATCTCAGTCAGTAACAACCAACCATCTTGGAAACGTACCCTGCTCTGTCCTTCTATTTACCCATCTCTTCTCCTGTACGGCACACCTGAACAACTCACCTGTTCTCTGTTCAGCCTCTTCAAACCTGGAGTCACCTCGGTTCAGCCAGCTCAGGTTTCTCTTCTTTCTGCGGGGTGAAAAGAACTTGAGGAAGGGGTCACACCTCTGTTTGGTGTAAGCCATTCATGGGAACTTACTAACTTCTGCAGCTGTGGGTCTGCATCTGCTACGGATCTGCCCCAGAGGTGTTCCAGGAGGGTGAACGGAGGACGTACGTAGTCCAGCACAGGAACGCCACCGTTGGTTTTGGTCTGTATTTAATCCCTGCACTGACTGCATTCAGAGCTGTTTTACACAAAGCTCCCAAATCTCTCCCCAGTCCTCGTCTGGTCTGTTTCTCTGCTTCCTCTCCTAGATGCAATTAATATTTTATCAGAGTTTTCACAAACGAAATACACACATATAAAAAAAGGTACAGCAGTGAACAGGTACCAGGAGATAGTACCACCTGGGAACAGAAAAGATGCCCAAATACCCACAGCTTCTGTCCAGCTCCTGTCTGTTCCAACCCTGACACCACTGGAGCTGTCAAGGCCTTACACCTACCCTTGTCAGATAAGGCTGCTAAAGCATGATGTTGCCATTTCATCTTTCCCTTGGTCCTCTCAAGAAAAAGGTCTGACTTTAGCAAAATCAGTTCTGTTGTGATCAGCAAACAGACAATCCCAGCTAGTCCTGAGTTACCCTTAGGTGCTTCATGTAACCTGTTACCTTCAAGAGGACACGGTACCGATGCTGTCTGACAAGCTCCTTCTTTTTCCTTCTTCTAAAGAAACCTCCCACGGATATGTGTGCGCTCCAACAGAGCGGAAAGAATTTCTTTAATACAATAGCCTCATGCCTTCGGTCGTAGGTAGAAGCCCTGAGGCCCATGAGAGCGCTCCTTTGCTAGAAATCCAGAGCAACCAGGGTCTGGTCCTTTTTCCCAGTCTCCTGTGCCTGTGTGTATTGATATATTCCAAAAAAAAGGGAACAAATAGCCTGCAACATTCTGTTCTCTCTCCTGCCATGTGTATGTCTGTCACCAACCACTAATTCCTTTTCACTGTATATACTGGATTCCAGTTAGCTGCCTCCACCGGGGGTTTTTAGCATTTTTTTGTAGAAAACCTTCATTTACCTTTCTGCCCCTTGTGTAAAAGCTTGAGATCCTTCCTGCAGAAGTGCTGTGCTGCTGCTCGCTCCCTTACCTCTCCAGTGCGGTATTCTCAGATGGCATCATCTGATCGGAGCTGATGACAGTGATCAGACTCATCCCAGTTCCTGCTAGAGGGTGTAATCTTGCTCTCTGAAGACCCACGGTGCGTGACCACAGGAAACTGAAGGGAAAGGCACACCACGAGACAACCATCAGTTTTGTTTGTGTGCTTCCGTATAAGCAGTTAACCAACATTTATTGTTGGTAACAATTAATCGGTAATTTAGAACAACTTTTAAAATGTTGTGTTGCCTCCTGCATGAAAGGAAATAATTTAAAAGCCACTGTGGGGTCAGCCTGCTGCTATTCAGCGTATTTATCTTTGCCATTAGCTTTTGGGTAAAAGTGCTGCTTCTGTTTAGAGGCCACAAATCTTGTTTGTGCTTCCTGTTGCAGAATGTTTATTACACAAGCAATCAGCAGCTCCATGTGGGTGTTCTGAGTCCCACTATCGACGACGATGACAACAGATGCCTGGTGGATGTGAACAGCAGGCCCAGGCTCATTGAATGCAATTATGCCAAAGCCAAGAGAATGAAGCTTTACTGGCAGTTTACTCAGGTAACTCTTACTCAGCAGACATTTCAGAAAGTTCAAAAGCTCTGTCTCTGTATCCGAAGCGCGAGTAATCTGTTTACTAAGAGAACAGAACCAGATTTATCCTTGCTTTCTTTGCACGGAGTCAGGAAGCTGTGTTTACTTTTGATCCCAATGTCAGCTACCTCAGGAGGTTACAAAACTTGTGTATTTTCTGAGTGTACAATAGATTTATTTTTTTCCTAAGGCAGAGTGACTGCTACAGAATTATCTCATTGAAATGATCTCAAAAAAATAAAAAGTGATTTTGGTAGAGTCAAATGCAAAGTAACCTGGTTAGGAACAGGAAACAGAAGCTCTGTTGTTGTTTGGTTTGTTTGGCAACAGCAGCTCAGAGAAGGGGGCAGCGGGTCACTGATGGTAACAGCCTCATAATGAGCTACTTCTGCAGTTCCTTACTTAAAAAGGCTAATGCTTTTACGAGTGGGAGAGGGAGATGAGAAGAAGCGCAGGTGAAGGCTGCGCAGCGATTTCACACTGATGAGAACACAGACGGGATACTGAGTCCAGGCCCGGCGTCCGCACTTCACAGCTGAACCAGAAACACAAGGGGGCCGGAAAACAGGCTCTGTGATACACTGCTTATGGAGACCGCTCTGGGGGGTTTAGCTGGGAGGAAGTGGCAGGGCGACTCAGAGCACAGCAGTGTTCCCACAGAGGGACACAGGCTGTCCTGAAGGCAAAAGAGGTTCCAGTGGCTGGAAGCTACAGACAGTCAGAGTTGGTCTGTCAGAGGAAGGCAAGATTTTCCAGAGGTAAGAATTAAGACCCTGGAAGTTTACAATGTCTGGTACCGCCAGGCCAGTTGTTTAGGGTAAAGGAAATGAGATTACAGTACTATCTAAACCAAGTACCTGATTTACCTCTGTGGCAGACGTGACAGCTGCTGCGAGTCTGGCTGGTCACAGTTGCTCCTCTGCTGTTTGGAGTCTACAAATCTAGTTGTTTACTCCAGCCCACGGGCTGAGGTTCACTATTAACGTAATTTTATTCCTGCATTTAATTTTTCTGTGTCATCCATGTGGGTCTGCAAATACCTTTTCTGCCAGCTCATTAGGGTTTTTTTTCTATGACTTCAACGGCCACAACCAGTGTATTTTAGGATACTGGTAATACAGTTTAGCATCTACCTTAGTGCATTTGGACAGTAATCACCAAAGCATATTATTAACATAATTGGTATTTGTACTTGAAATTAATCCAGATCTTTGTCTTTAAAGGGTAGCTCTCAAACAGCAGACACTAAATCCCTAACCTAGAAAGACATCCCAGCTTTCACTTTCCGTCTCCTCAAGGGCTGACTTTTAATTAAGTCTTCTCTCAAATTGTAACGTAGTTTAATGGGGGGGATACAAATGGGATGACCTCACTGTGGCCATCTCTGCACTTGATTTTTGGCACCAATTTCAAACAGTATAATTAACATCTATTTAAATAGTATTTCAGTAACGGTGCTGTCCACCTGTTCAGTGATTGCTCTGTATAACCCAACTCTTTGGTGACAATTACTGCTTTCTACTCCAGAATACTGCTGCTATTTTGTAGTATTAGTTACGTTAGGTCTGATTGGGGGGCAGCAGTAGAATGCATTGATAATTTAATTATTAAAAGCCTCAAAAATGGTATTTAACTAGGTTAGTTTTATGTCTGCATTTCCATTCCATGTTCCAAATACAATCTCCCAGTGAAGGTGCACTGCTTCTAAACCAGACCCTCTGGACTGTATTCAAGTCTACAAAGAAACTTCTGCCCAGGAGAAGTAAAAGCTAGTTAGTTGTTTCCTTATGATAAATTAAGAGACAAATGAAATAATTAAAAGTTTGCTGTTCAAGAAGGGTTTTGTTAATAGCCAATGCAATTAAGATGCGATTATTTCTCAACATACAGCATAGCACACAGCCCTTACACGTTCTGTAACCTAGCAGAAAGTTAATGAGACTAATCAAGACTTGCAAAGATCAACTGATGAACTCCATCTGAAATGCTCCCATTTAATCTGGTGAAAGGACGTGTTTCTGTGAACACGCTGGAAGCTGTCTAGCTGAAGAGGGTCTTTTTTGTTACTTTTTAAAGCTCTGGTAAACAGAACCTGCAGATAGCAGAACTGCACGTATGAATGCTTACATAGTCCTGAAATTTGTGAAATACTAACTAAAATGTAGATGCTGGCCATAGCTTTTTATAGCACCTTTTTATAGCTGCAAGCAAGCTTTGACTTCTCTGGATTCTCTAGCCCTTCAACAAGAATGGCTGATGATGGAGATAATCAGAAATACCGCAGTACAGGTGGAGAATTGTCTCGGAACGGGAATGAGACTTACCAGCCAGGGCAGGATAAACCAATTCATCTAGATTGCCTTGACCAGCACAAAAATCAGTATTTGCCCTGTGTTGCAGACATGTATCTTAAAATTTGAATGAGGAAACTTTCTCATTTTTCTGCAAAACACACTATATTGTGAGAGGTACCATGATAGTCTGTGGTGGGACATGGACTTCAGTCTGGTTCATCGAAGGCTGTACAGCTTTTTAGAAAAAGTATTCCTCAGGTAACATTTTCCTCCTGCCTTGTGCTGCTGTAATGTGTGATGAGAGAAATGCTTATGACAAAAGTAGAAAATAGGGGTCATCCCCAGGTAGTGGTCTCCTTGCTTCTGTAGATCTATCACAGAATTATTTCATTCTTAATTTGCATCTTTGACCAGAAGTTTGTGTGTGTGTGTATGTATAAAATGACTTGTTTTCTTAAAATGTTATGTTTTGTGGCTACCTTCAGCTGTAGGCAGCTGGAGTCAGACACTCAGATGTCCACTACTATCTTGTGGGCAGAAGAGTGGTGTAATGGACCATGACCGGTACCTCCCATCATGCTGGCGGACTGGAGCAGGGCCTTGGGAGAGTTTGTGGTATCTTCCTGTACAGGACAAACTTGCACTGAGCACTCAAAGCCTGTATTATGTGTTTGTGTAATCAGGACTCATCTGAGCAAATTTCCATGCTCCACAGTTCTGTACAGCTGCCAAATGCAGTGAGACCCAGTAAAATGTAGGTTTCAGTGGCATTCTTCCTTCCAAGACTTCTTCAAGTGTTTATAACTGTAATTATGTCAAATTATGTAAATTAGCCCTGAAAAGACTCCCATCAACTGGGTAGTATTAGAGAATTTTCTTGTTCAGGTTGTTTGTCAAGTCTTAGGGAAATGCTTATTTTGGGAATACTTTCACGCTGAAAAGTCTTGTAGGTGTTTGACAGTTCACCTACTTCAGGTCTGTCTTGCCGCTTTCTCATTTAATCAGAACAAAAGTAGTCCTTCCAGCAAAGTAGTAAGTGATCACCAGCAATTACACAAGACAGAGGGGATAGAATTACAAGAATTTCATGGTGGTAAAATGGTCAGAATTCTACTAAAATATTAATTTAAACATGGTATCAAGGAAGCTGCTCTGGCATCATGAACTGTGAGGAAAACAATAACCTCAGTTCCTACTGAGTGCCCCTTATTTAGTACTAAACAATTACTCCTGCTCGCACCCTGTGAGCTCTTCTGGCAGGGAGGAGGTGCGCACGCAGCGTGCTGTCTGCTGCCCCGCGTAACGGCGTGCGTGCAGGAAGCACCACGTCAGCAGCGCACACGCACGACAGCCACTGTCCGCGTCCTCAGTACAGCTGCTGTCCTTGGGACTGCCGCACTGACTGGGACGTGGGCCGTTGTGTGACGGAGAAGGGGCTCCGAGATGCAGGAGATGGAGGCCGGTGCACCTGGACAGACAACTCCTTCCAACATCTTTTGGTAGAAAAGGCTTATGGCCAAAACCACGATCCTCTGAACTCTCTGATACCATGAATGTTGCTAAGAAGTAGTAAATTTTAAATCCCGGGTTTTTGGAGGGGGTGTATTGGTTTGGGGGTGTTCGGAAGTTTCTGAGCGTCAGTCTGATTTCTCAGGTTTATTGCTGATTGAAGGGCCATTGTAACACAATGCCTGCCCTACACGTGCCATTCGTCGCCAGGGTGACAGCAGCCCATCTGGAAGGCATGCTGGTGGCACGTTAGGACTCCTCCAGCAGCATTACAGAGGCAAAAGGAGAAGTTTTTCTGTAATTACTCTTTATCTTGAAGTGTCCTCATGTTTATATTTCCCTCAGTAGGGATGGGACTGTTTCTTATGCTTCTAACCAGACTACCTACGTTGTCGCTTACTTGCTCTTGGGAGAAACGCTGACAGGGGAGGGCTCTGAGTAAAAGTACAAAAGGCAGAGGTAAACACTTCAGAGGTGAATCCTTCTAAGGCTGTTCCATGCTGAATTATTTTCAGTACAGCAAGCTCTGATTTCAGTAGTTCAGCTTCCAGTGTGGTTGCCCTAGGAAGGTAGGAAGAG